TTCGCAACATTTTTAGCTTGTAAACTAACACCATCATCATGGATGTCGCTCTTTGCCAAGGAATCATGATCCATAATATTCAGTGTGATAACTACCTATTTATTCACAGGCTTGCACAAAAGCTTGCCGTTGATTAGCATGCAGTCTCTCAGGGAGAGTCATTAATTATTCCGCCTCAATCGATTTCCTGGGCGAATTCGTTGCGTTATGCCCCTTATCGTTGTCGGTCTTGTAGATTTTACGAAAGACTGACAGAAGTGGGTTTCGTTGTTGATAAACAGAAAACTAAAATTGAACCTTGGATTAAGCTTCTTCAAACTATCCCTAGTAGTATAAGTCAAAACTGCCAATCAATAATAAATTACAGATGACTTGTAAATTGTTGTTGTTAATCAATTACATTAATGCCTGCAATACTTGTTTTTTTGTTCCGCATCGATTGAGATAAAAGTAAAACGACAAGTGAAGCAAACGGCTCAACAAAATGGACTTACAGACATATATTTAATTCCGATGTGAATGAACAAACATCAAGAGCTCCAACACTTTGGCCTCATAAGTAACGAATATAATGAGTGACAAACAGCGGCAATACGTCCAAAGTAACACCACATTAATCTTGTATTTCAAGTGTTTTCTCTGGACCAGGATACTTTTTGAAATCGTCCCTAAAAGCGCCATAGTTAGTTCTCTTGAAGTTGTACACCGGCAGCGGTCATATTAGTAAAATGATCTGAAGGGCCATTCGACGCTTATTAAATCATCCAGCAGGGCGGTCAGTGAATGAAGAACACTTTTTCTATTCTCATAAAAGCAAAGGACAATCGACGAGCACCATCCGGTTGCACGCCACGAGAAGACGCACGCAACAGTGGCTCTACTAAATGTTAATAATGACAAAACATTTTGTTGCCTATTCAAAGTATTTATTCTAGCCAAACACATCACTGTCACGATAGCATAATTCAGGATAAGTATTAACCGGGGGACTTGACCACGAAGTAATATAGGAGGTCACACCACTTCCTAGCGTTTCTGTAATCATTCAAGTAGATCGCCTATGCTGATGGTCTACAGGTATTAGTGCATGATCTCTTTATCATAGGGAATTTAAGACCAATAGACAAGCAAGAATTTTGAAATTTGCTGTAATACAAACCGACCTGGATTGGAAAAAGTTAGTGGTGCATTAGAGTTGAGTAAGTTATAAAGTCGATAATCGGTTATAATAATAAGGAATGTGGGTGGATTGTCTTTAAACTTTAATTGTGCAGGGTACATAAGTTTGAGCGAGACACTATCAAAACGATTTCCGGCACTTAGACAACGGTTTTTGGATAATGATGTCCGGTTGAGCTGACTGAGTTTGACTTGGTTAGTGATTACTCATTACTGAAGTCATCCTACAAGAGGAATTAAAGACAAGAGATGATGTTTCAGTTTCAGTTTGGAAAGGACAGGAGGCTTGATGGCCTGTGTTAGTCCTGGCAATGATGGTCTCTCAGCTGATCCAACTTTCTTTTGAAGGAGTCGACGGACGGAGCCTCAACCACGTGCTGAGGTAATGAGTTCCACTCGTTGATTATTCGATGGCAAAGTCGGTAGTCAGCTCGGTCAGTCTAGTACCATACGGGAGCTTCGCTATTCCGGGAATCAGCCTAGTTGCTGTTCTCTGAACCCTTTCCAAGAGTTCACTGTCTTTTTTTAGGCAGGGGCTAGCTGCTTGTATGTAGTACTCAAGTTTAGGGCGTACGAACACTGTATACAAAGTCAAAAACGTTTTAGCGTCAAGATGCCTAAAAGCCCTGCGTATGGACCATAAAGTCCTAAAACCTTTGGCGGCTATTGCACGGCAGTGTGCAGTAGTCTTTAGGTCTTGACTGACGATGACGCCAAAGTCGTTGTGTGCCTGAACAATAGGTAACTCAGTGTTATTCATCGTGTGTGTATCTGTACCCTGGTGGCCAATATGCATCACAATACACTTGGAAGTGTTTATCGGCGATTGCCAGGTTTGGGACCATTCAGATAATCTCTCCAGGTCATTTTGAAGTTCTAAGCTGTCGCTCTTGCTTTGTATCGCTCTCCATAACTTGAAATCGTCAGCATAGAGTAAGACCGATGACGATATTAGACGAGGGAGGTCATTTACGTACAGGAGGAATAACACTGGCCCCAAAACTGTACCCTGGGGGACTCCACTAAGCACAGTTTCCCAGCTAGACAACTTGGAGTTCACCCTTACTCTTTGTTGACGCCCAACTAGGAAGTCTTTTATCCACATCAATAGATTGCCTCCAATCCCGACATTCTTTAGCTTATATAACAGCCGGTTATGCGGAACTTTGTCGAAAGCTTTGCTGAAATCGATGTAATCTACGTCTATAGGTAATTTTTGGTCCTTAAGAGCGCACCAGCTTTCACGAGCGACTAATAAGTTTGTGAGACAAGAGTAACCTGTTCTAAAGCCATGCTGCTTTTCGGAGTGGATCTGGTTTTCATCGAGATACTTTGACAGTTCCTTCCGAATAATCTTTTCTAAGATTTTAACAACCACACTAGTTAGGCTAATTGGTCGGTAATTCTCAGGCTTATGTTTTGTACCTGTTTTGAAGACTGGACTTACTATGGCGTTCTTCCAGTCTTTTGGTAGACGACCCTGGGTTACGGATAGATTAAAACATACACTTAAGGGGTTTGCAATAAAGTTAGCTAATTCCTTTGGTAACCTAGGATGCGGTTCATCGGGTCCATTGGATTTACCTATGTCAAGCTTAACTAACAGACCAAAGACATCGAGTTATTTAATGGTCACGCTGTCCAGTGTTTGTGTGGGGGGATTTTCATGGACTGATGAGAAGGGTGTTTCCATGGTGTATACATTGCTAAAGTATTTAGAGAATACTTGAGCTTTGCCAAAGTCGTCCTCCACTAGTGATGTGGCAGTACTGTCTCCCCATAGTGAAGGAACATTTCTTCTTCTTTTTGTCCTTTGGTTTATATACGAATGTAAGCGTTTAGGGCATTCTATGGATTCCTTAACGATTTTCTTTTCGTACAGATTTCTGGCCTTACGGAGGGTCGAGACACAGGTATTTCGAGCCTTTTGATACTGAGATTTCGCCTCTTCAGTCCCCAGTAACCTAAATCTATTCCACAGTTTCCTTCTTTTACGGAGAAGGATGCGAACCTCCCTACTGAACCACGGTGGGAGTTTCTCGGCCCCTCAGGTGTAGTCCAAGGGATGTGGGGGCGGTAACTTTCAAGTATAAATTCCGGAATACGTCCCAAGCCGTTTCGATTGATGACTCTGGGTCTATTTTCCAATCTACTGATGATGCTGATTTCATGATGTCTGATATGTTGGCTTTCCAGACGTTAGGTCTGGATCGAGCGGAGGCGTGCTCGTGATCGACAGTTATATGGAAGTCAAAGGTTAAAACTGCATGATCACTTTTGCCTAGGGGTGGCATGTAATCCAGGTTTGCAACATCATCCTCATAATGAGTCAATATAAGATCTAGTAGGGATGATGCAAAACCCGGGTCGTACCTAGTTGCTTCCTTCACGTGTTGCACTAGGGCACATGTGATTACCCCCATCAACTAGTTCCTGTTCGAAGGAGTTTGCTGACGATTCAGTCCGCAGATTTCCCCAGTCCACCATGGGTGCATTAAAGTCCCCTAGGATTAGACATCGATCACTTCGTGATAAAGTGTTGAGACTGCTTAGCAGGACCTCGTTTGCCTCACAGCTTGGACTGCGATAGATCAAACTAAGCAGCAACTCTTGTCCCCTGCATTTCAGGCGGCAGCTAACTAATTCATACGTCCCACTCTCATGTGATACACTGTCGATAATGGTGAATGGAATATCATTCCTAATGAATAGAGCTACCTCCCCTCCTTTACGCGTTTGTATTCTATCGGCCCTTACTAATGTAAAACCCTCGAAATCAAGTTCCCTACTATCTATAGACGGCGTCAGCCATGTTTCTGTGACTGCGATTATGTCTGGCCTAGTTGAGTCAATCTGTACACCTAGTTCCGGTAGCTTATTTGGTAAGCTCCAGGCGTTGGTATAACAGATCCGAAGCCTATTTAGGTGGCCTCGTGCTTCACCCAGAGTGGCTTCGGCATCATCCTCTGTCGAAGCCTCACAACCCGAAAATTTACAATTTTCAGGTCTTTTTCGCCAGCGTCTAATCTGAGCTGTAGTTCCTTTTCGGCTTACCGTCTTTTAACACGGTCTGCCAACGGTAGGTCCTTACGGAGAAAAACTCCTGAACCCTTTAATTTGTGTCCATTTTCTAAGATTAAGTCGCGTTCGTTTGGGGATTTGAAAACGACTTTGAGTAGTCTAGACTGATTTGGTTTCAGATGCGCTAGATTTCCTAGTCTATACACCCTTAGCAAGGTGACTCCGGGGATGTTTTTGGGCATAACTTGGTTGAGTAGTTGTTTTATCAACACAATGTCATGCTCAAAACGAGCTTTCGGTTCTAAGTTGTCACTCTCCTTGACTCTATGGAGAATGACTGATCTGTCGCTGTGATCAGACCTCGGCTTGTCGACCCTTTTGGTGGGGGGATGATTTCCTTTTACGTCATTTTGGCGTTTTTTCCTACGACCCGTACCCAATCGCCAACGTTCTTTGGAGTGGTAACCACAGTCGCGTCAGGCGTACTGTGGGATTCCGGAAGATTCAGGACGACTTGGGCGTATGTATGCACCAAAAATGGGTAAAATGATTAAAAGGTAAAGCCACTTAAAGTTTTGAAGAATTGATGACATGTTGACTTATGATTTATAAGGTTCATGATGGAAGCGAGAAGTGCATGAAGCATAGTACAAGGGAATGTAGGAATTATTTTCTATGATGGATGATGTATTCAAACTAAAGAACCACATCTTATGCGGTATAGATATATCTCAACGAATATTTAATTTGTTTTTTTTTATGCCTGGTAAGGTTTGTGATTCTGTCATCCGAAGACGTTCGTTGAACTGCGGGTCATTAGATTCGTGCGGTACCCATTGACATGATTTTATCCCTATGGCTGCTGGCCTCCCTTGCACTCAGCGTTAATGCCATATATGAAGACCAGGTTGACGTTCTAGATTGGTATGTCTTATTCGTTTTCTAATGCTCCCTTTAAGGAATCAAAAGTTTGTGGGAAAAGTCAAGTATTCAAAATTAAAGTTTGATGGGACTATCCCTAAAAATTATTTTGTGGGTTCTGAACTCAATGTTATTAGTTCTATCAATTTAAAGGATGGATCAATTGGTATGTTCGAGGTTGTATAATTGCTTGTAGTTTGGCGACAGGTACTTGACGAAGATGGTGAAATGACTGGATTTGAATTATGTGGCAATAGTAAGTCCTTAAAAATATGCATACATACATTTAGAGTTGTTTTCTCTTTCCTCCAAGCGTGGAACTAAGTTACGTGCTTGGGACATTAAGTTTGGTGGTGTTTTATGGGAGGCTTTAATAGATTCTTCTGAATCATCCAGGTAATATAAATATTTGTTGCTTATGTTGGTCAACAGTGGGGACATTTGGTGTGATGAAAACTCAGGGATTTTAGTTGTTGCTTACGATAAAGGAGTGGATACTTATCGTCTTCAAACAGGTGAAAAGCTGTCATCTGACAGAAATATGTAAGTATATCTATATACGTCGCTTTTAAAGGTTTTCTTACAACCACCTTTGTTAATACCTTTTTCTAAGTTAACATTAGAACAGGGAAGATCGAAAAAATTTCATCTTCATAGTAATTTTTGGGTTTCCAGGATGTTTTAAAGTTTAAGAAATTACATTGTTTTTCAAAAATGCATCGTTCTGCTGTAGTGGGCAGTTAGATCACATGTATGTAATGACTTTAGGAGTTAATTCCTTGGAACGACGCAAATATTTAGCAGTTTGTGTTTAGCCTGAAGGCATGATATCGTGTAATGATTGGAGCGTAATTAGTAGCATATGTGAAAAAATCTGATGAAGATAACACGAGATAAAATTTCAGTCATTCTTTGTTTGGTATTCCGGTTAATTTTCATTGCATTCAGATATCGACAAGAAACCCTGAAATACGTCGATTTCTGTTAGGACTTCTCATATGGACCTACAATCATACTATTTGTCTCGATAAAAATAAGGTTGTGAGTAGAGCCATTTCTCTGATGCTTTCACTGAATGCATTTGTCAAACGTTTAAGTGGTGTTTCTGCGCACATTAAACTGTCCTATCATAACCACTTTCGCTGTTTATATTTGTTTTGTTTCATCTCATCTAAATGTGTCCCTAAATTTCCTTTTTCATATGGTAGCATTCAAGAGGAATGTTAAGCAGATCTGTGGGTTCCTAAGGCCAATCGTCCGAGTTAAGTTTATTTTCATGGGAAAGCACCATAACCCCGCTTTCATTTTTATACGTTTGTTAATATTTTAGTTAACTGATTATTACTCCTGTGATACCTTGTGTTAGTACCATTGGTTTTTGGAAAATTTATAGGAACTCAAGTTCTCCTAATCAAATAAATATAGTTTCCGGGAAAACTGAATCCAGTTTAACAATCTCACTAGTTGAGAAATATCTGGACAAGAGTGGTCATCTGGATATTGATGCACCTGAATTATCTTATATAATTATCAGAACATATGCAATTTCAAGTTCTGGATTGCAGTTAACTCCTATGGTCATAAAGAACTATACGATTCACTCGTCTGTTTATAACCAACGCTCGTAAGTGAATTTTACTGCAGTAACTATATGTCTTGATGTAAAAAATAACATTAATTTTGTTGTTCTGGGGCAACAGTTATCTAGCCTTTCTTCATTTGGTGAGATTTCCGACCCAACTGTGTATAACACCATTGTAATACGAAAATATTAGGTTTAGCATTAAAAAGTATTATTATTTATTTTATGTGCTAAAGAATCGTAAATCCATACAATTTCAATCCTCAAGTGCATCGCTGATAAGTCATGTTGAATCTTGAGTAATTTTATGAAAGGTGGACAAGCGGTCGGAGTTTCGATAAAAACTTCAGTTTGTTGATTGAAACCTGGTGGTTTGTGAACCGCTCTTAGACTCAAATACAACTAGAAATCTTGCAAAAGGTTCACTTGTCCACATTTTTCGTTAGAAGAGTAACTTGCAAGTTAGGGTTGTCAGTCTTTCCCGGGGACTAACGAGTTTGAAAACTGATAAACCTGATGGCATCAAAGTTATTGAGTAGATACCGTCGCTCTAATCCCCGTCCCGTTAGTTGATCTTAGTCAACGTAGGACCTGATGATTGTCACGTTACATCAGCACAACCAGATGAAATCAACAAAGTGAATGGTAAATTAATGAACATAAAAGTTATTAGTGAAAGTAAAATACGGAATAAATAATGGGGTTCAAAGCGAAGTAATCAGTTTGCAGAATAAAACGTTCAAAATACTGTTTGAGCTTAAAATCCAGGGGAGGAAATAGTGAATACATTTAAATAACTAGTCAGTTTCGGACTATCGCACCTAAAGTCCTCAATCACTGATCACGGTCACCTGACTAACCGTAACCACATAGTCTGCGCTTATCAACGCGGCTCGGTCCTACGATAACTTCATGGAGTGATGCGACGTCTTAATTTTCCCTTCTTTAGTTTTCTTAGAATCTGCCACTCCTAGTTCAACAAGCACTTTTTGGCGAGGTAGGCGTTGGTTAGGGGATACACAGCATATGACTCAGACTTAAGCCGACGAAGATGCACATTCTAACCAGCCTTCTTTGTTATGTCCTATTAACCGTCCGATATCACTTAAAATCGCCAATCAGAATACCTACTTATATGACCTTATTCCTGTACTAAAACAATGCATCAAGCAGTGCTAACAGCCTTGTATATATATATATATATATATATATATATATATATATATATATATTTATATATATATATATATCGTCAGTCAGCTACAACGTAGGACCAGGCACATATATGCATCGGCCCAAGTTGCCATACTTCGTTAGCACAACAAGATGAACACTGGATTCATAGAAGTAATTAATTTACTGGTGGTAGTATATAAAGAAAGGTTGTATATAAGGATATAGTATAGGAAGGAAAAAAGTTATGAAGCAATTTTAATCTCAAGGTTTATGGGAATATAAAGAGTGTATACACCTACGCCATTGTGATCGATTCTGAGCCGTGTCACCCAGAGTCTCCAACCATTGGTTACGATAGTCACGCAGACCCCAGCCAGGTAGTCTGCATCTGCCAACATGGCTCAGACTAGAAGTTAGTGACTTCAAGCACTGATGCCATGTTTTGGTTCGGCCGCCCCTAACTCTCTTCCAACCATCCCCTACACTAGTCATCATAGAGCGTCGTGGTAATCGGTGTTCAGGCATACGTAACACATGGCCCAACCATCTCAGTCGATGAAGACTCATGACCTCATCAACTGATTTATCATCATTCCCTAATACCCTGCGTCTAACCTCACTATTACTTACCCGGTTATCCCAGCAGATGCGAGCAATATTTCTAAGGCATCTGTGGTCAAATATTAGTAACTTACGAGTATCTTCTACTCTTAATGGCCATGTTTCACAGCCGTAAAGTCAAATAGAGTGAACTACTGCGCAGTATACTCGTCCCTTAATTGATAGACGGATATCTCGTCTTCGCCATTGGTGACGTAAGTTGGCAAAAGTCAAATGAGCTTTTTGAATCCGTGCTGAGATTTCGTCAGACACCAACCCATTAGGGCTGATCAGACTTCCAAGATAAGTGAAGTTGTCCACGCGTTGGACTACTTCACTTCCTATCCTTAGTTCAGGTGTTGACGCAGGCCAGTCCTGGAGTAACAATTTACATTTGGATGGGGAGAAACGCATCCCAAACATCCTGGCATTATATATATATATATATATATATATATTTATTTATTTATTCTAGTTACTTAATAATTATCCAGTAAGAATGTATGTAGTAATGATCCATAATAACTTCTCGCAGTTACCATCTATTTATATTCCGTTTGGATATAACATGTTTGTTTAGTACTCCCGCTCCCGACTTCATCATTGTCCACTATGCTGTTTCACCATACACGAGAAATGCTTCAAAAAGCATTTGTAGTCAAATATCAGTAACCTGGAGATGTCCTATAATTTCAGTTGTCGCATATTATGGCCATGGAGTTAAACAAAACGGACCACTATGGACTATACTAGACCTTTGATGGATGAACGTGTGCCTTATCTACACAACAAATGGCACAAGTTCTCATAAGTCAACTGAAATTTTGTTAACTGTTAACTTCCAATGCTGATAACATTTCCAGATGAAGTAGTCGATGCATTCAATTATCTCACTCACTCTGGTCAAAGCAGACATTAACTCAGACCAGTCGTTAAACAACATTTCGCGTTTAAAAATATATCCTACGTATTTTTACATCACTACTCAGTCGTCAGAAGACTGCATTATACCAATGTCTTTCACTAAACAGAGCCATGTCATCTATGTACTATAGGTCCATAATTGAATTTCTATTTAGATCAATTGCTGAAAAGTTAGACGATGAACGCATCGTTTCTGATAGAATGTCTATGGTGAAATGGAATTCTACATGCTCGTCGTTTTTTAAAAGTTATGACATTAGAATAATTTTTCTACTCATTGGGATATTACAAATATATCAATTTATTTATGACATTAGAATAAGTTCTGTTCCAATGTACTAGTTCGATTTGCAGTTTTTCTTCTAGCGTCTCGTACTCATTTCATTAACTTATTTATAAGAGGCGTGAAGTGGTAGGAATACTCGTCTTGGTGCCAATCCATTGTCTGTAGGTAATCCAAACTACATTTAATACAACAAAATGCACTTCTCACAATGTAATTTGTATATTAAAAAAAACGACAATTTCGATTATGTCCACAACCATCTTAACCTTCTAGGTGCAATATATTCGGGTTACATAACATACCAACTAATGCCATTGTTGTGTGCTTATCGTCGGAGCGTGGTAGACAGGAAAGCCTGCTTAGATTTTCATCTGTTTCATCGTCAAGTTGGGACGTTATCACAGTGAAAAGTGTAAGCTGTTTTTTTGTATTTCTACTTAAAGCACGGAGTGAATTTTTTCGTATACAAATAACTGGATTTATGTATGATAATCCTTGAGTAGTGCAGTTTCATTGTTAGCTTTTATGTTCTGTTTGCCTGTGATGAAGTAGATATGAGGAGAAGAACGATTTCCTGTTACTTGTACATGGGGATTGATTTCGCTACGAAGTAATACTAAGTAAACTCAAGATTCGTACTGATCACTTCGTACTAAACTATCCTCATCGATTTTGCTTTCTTCTGTTGTGTAGATCGGCCGAAACCGCACCAGCTACATTCGCTTTTTATTTGCCTATAAATTTAAGGCTTCATGTTATTACATACTTTTGGATCTACATATCATTCATTTCTCTTGAACTGTCTCTCGTCTACTTTCCACCTTGATAATTTCATCTCTTTATCTGTTCATATATGGTGTGGCAACGTGAAATGATGCATACCGGTGTCATCCTGCTTTATCATAAGTTTACTATCATAGATATCAGTCAGTTATGACCAAAATGGAACCTGGCACAAATGTTCTTTGGCCCTTGTCATTATCGTATGAAGCTGACATTAAGAATGGCAACAGTCCAAATCAGTGATAGTGAGGGAGAATAGACACGAAAGGATACTGTTCTAAAAGATGAAGTCGAGGACTAAATGTAATGGTAAAGAATAAATACATCTGTATAACTATGATCGATTTTAATTCATTTCACTCAGTGTTTCCAACTACTGATTGCGGTTATATCATGGATCCTAACCAGGTAATTTTTACTCACCAATACGACTCAGTCCAACAATGACTCTACAGACTGTTACAATGTCTTGGTTTAGGCGTCACTATTTTTTCTTCCAAACTACTACTTCAGCCAACATTGCTGGTCGAGATGATGGTTGGCACCTCATTTGATAGTATATTAATAGTCTAATCAAATGATCAATCATTATCTTTTCCTGTTACCGTAAGCATAACCTCATAATTGGTTACTTCGTTATGTTGTACCATATATGAAGAATCCATCAATGACAATTGTTATCAAAAACCTGCAGTCTACACATATCTTCGATTTTCATAGACCACGTTTCACGCCTGTAGAATAATATAAAGTGGATTGCAGCATAGTGAACTCAGTTCTTACTAAGCAGATTGATAGCAAAAAGAATCCCACCTTTTGATAATGCCAGACTTATTATTTGTCATAACCTTACTCTTTATAATAATGTCCAACTGATTTCTCAAATTTTTAGTCTCAGTTTGGATTTACGGATATTAATTTGTATGTCATTATAGTGTATTGTCAAAACGTGTATCCACATATTTATCAGCGTTTTGTATCTTTTTGATGCTTCAGACCTTTGCAAATATGGTTAAGCTAACGGACAATGATTTTCTGTTAACCTCTTCATCGTTGGAGCCCACCACTGGGGCTGTATATCATTTAGATTCCTCTGGTATTCCAGTTTTAAAATATTTTGTCAATAATGTGAGTACAGTCAGTGTCGGCTTTTCAATTATTAACTTTGATTATACCTAAATTACTACGATATTTCCTTTTTCCTAACTTTTTAGTGCACACCTGGGACGTAATAAGTTGTCACTAACGTAGTGCATAATGTTTAGAACTTTGAACGAAGGTATTTCATTAGCATTAGGGTATTTTATCTAAATGGTTTACTTATAAAGTTTTCACTCTCTCAATAACTTTTCCAGTAAAAACTTTAAAAAGTAGTGAATTTTTGAAACTATTGGTCCTGAACGTATGCTCTCTTAAATGTTTTCAGTCCCATGACAGAACACTGCAAGCAGTGGTACAGTAGTATATTTTGTGTGAATCAACTCATGCAATAATATGGATCAAGTTGACGGATCGTACATCAACATGACCATGCAGTTGCACAGTAGGCGTAACTGCACCGAAAATGGAATACAACTCCAGAAAAAAAGTTAACAATTAATTAGTCATAATTTAGGTTTGATAAAACGTATGTAGTAGTAGTTATTAAGTCCATTGGAATCTTACAGTATGGAGAGTATGTAAACGTAATAATCCAGTCTTCTAATAATTATACAGCAGAAATATAAATAAAAATAGTAACTCATAAAATAGTCCTACAGGTTCAAACGTTTTCTATACTCTCCCCGTTATAACAGATACAGCTTCATTTCTTTGATAAGCATGAGTCCACCTAATCAGTTTATTATTATTATTATTATTATTATTATTATTATTGAGATAGTGAAGATTCGCAGGTCAGGTGGATGATTTAGATGTTTTTGTTCTCTGAGCTGGATGATTTGGCCGCATAGCTTTCACTGTTCTGAATAATTACATCATCAGCACAAATTCAGGTAGAAGTGAAGTGTTCGAATTTCTCGACATATGACTCACAGCTTGTTCTCTTGATAAGATGATGATGTTCAGTAAAATAATGAAAACTACATGAGCAAACCACCCAACATAAAAAACAAAACTCCACCTAAATTATTGCTGTTATTATTATTACAGGCTATGATTGGATGTTTGGGAACGCTAAATGATCGATCGTATTTATTTACACTTCATCAAAATGTAGATCAGGTAATGATATCACTTTTCATATTCTTACTGTAACTTTAATTATTGAAGTTTATTCCACGATTGCCTAACACCACCTGTTCAAAATAAGCTAAAATGTTTCAAATATTCATAGCTTTCATTGGAGGACATTTATTTGATTGTCTGTATAAATTGATACTATCTGGATACATTTATAGCGTTCCCTTTCTACGTCGAATAAACTAGTTGATAGTATCTTGAATATTTATACCTATTACCATAATCACACTGGTGCGACAATAGTTAAAATCATTGCTAGATAATATTCACCGAAAGGTGTTTGTAATATCACATCGTATCATGTGATTTAAATCAAATTATTCTCCCTGATCTGATTGTGAAATTAATGAGATATTTTTCCGTCTACTTCATACTTTAAATTCGAAGATAAGATGATGATAATTTGATTATAAACAGGGAAAGTTTTTATAGATTAGTCTTTTCTGTTTCAAATAACTAGGCGTAATAATACAGTCATTAGTTATGAGATGGTGGCTTAATGATTAAGACGTTTGGCTTTCAGCTACCAAGTCCAAAGTTCAATCACCGCTCCATTTACTTCGGGGTGAGCAACTGGGTAGTATCATTAACTTTCATACTTAGATTGTAGCTCATACACTTAAGCACCTGGTGCATGAGTGAATCATTTATACATATCTATAATACATGAGGACTTCGACGCGGTCGCTTATCATTGAGCTAAACAGTTCATTTGGGAAATCAATTTTGATATTTAACAGTGATCACCATCAGTTGGAAATATTAAGCGATGGGCATCCTTTTTTGTTAGCGGGAGCGTGAATACAAGTTTCTTCACTGCTTTATTCTACTGAAGTCATCTGCATCAATCCGTCTAAATTTTTGAATCTGTCTTTTTTATTAGTAATCCTAATTAATACTTTATCTATTATTTATCATTTTGACAGTATTTTAAGAATCTGGCTCTAAACATCTATGATTTAGAATCTGGTGAATTATCCAAAGAACTACCACCTCGTCATTTCACTCTTGCTAGTCATCATGGTACAATTGAATCGGTAAGTTCACCAGTTTTAGGTAGATTTTGTTTATAGTTTTACTCTAATTAACTACTACGAAGGTAATCAGTATCTTTGTGTGTAGATATCATTCCTAGTTAAATAGTATCGGTTCACTCTTGCCTAGGTGTAATGGCTCAGAATCGTTCGCAATGGCAGAGCTACATTCACTCTTTGCCTTTTCCTATAACCTGAATCCCGAAATTTCTTCATACTGTCTTTTCTCTATGCCTAATTTCTACTGATACTGTTACTTCTTTAATCAATCTTGAATTTGTTCTGATAATTTTACCTCACTATGCTGATATGTTATGACAATTTGAACTGATGATTATATGTGCTAGGTTCTACGTTGCATATAATTGACTATCGCTATGTAATCCTATCTCATTGAAAAAAAACTGCTCGGTGTTGCTTAGTTATTCAATGGTTGTTCAGTTGAAGTTAATCCTTGATATAAACTATAAATATTTATATGTCTTTACAAACTTTCTGCACTAATAATCGTGTATACCAACGTCAAACTATTTACATTTCTTTGATCATATAATTAGTCTGTACCGAAATCTCATGTTAAGCTCAAAGCGTTTTATTTTTATTAAAATCTTAATTCATTCCTGTGTATTTACCGTTAATGGAAAGCTGTTTGTCTACCAAACATTTATATTATGGAAGTATTTTGTTTGATAATCGCCTTTTCTTCGACAGATATCTGCTATCATGTTTACTGATGCTACCGGTGCTCCGAGTTTTCGACTATTGTTATATACAGAGGATGATGCTGTACAACTAATCCGACAAAATGGTAAGAGTTCATTTTTTTAATAATTTTTCAGCCTAACATTATTACATCAACGACTTCTCGTTCTTCATATTAAGCATCATATGCTAACTCCTTAATGTTAGACCGCTAGTTTGTTTCTTCTTCTCTTTGTGTTTCAAGAATCTACGAATTTCTCTTCAATCTTAATAATTGTTTCCTCACTACTTATTTTAACAGTAATTATCTGGTGAGTTGTGCACACTTTCTCACTAACTATCCTTATGAAAATAGATCATATCTGAAGGTTTTGGATAATAGAATTATCCTGTTTTTCAACACTCTTGTACTCACTTGTTGAAACTTGTTATATTCAACTGTTGTCTCACCTAATAATTATAACATTATATACAACGAAATCACTCATTAAATGCTTCCATCAACGTAGGAGATTGACGGTCATTTTTGTCTTTCTCAAATGTCTATAGAGTTCTCAAGTTTCAGAAAAATTTGTAGACTGACCTTGTTTATTAAGCCAAGATGTAATGAATACTTTGTTTTTATATGACAAGAACATAATTTTCTTGTATTATTGTTTGGGTCCGTGAAATCAGACCATAATTACAAGAAAGCAATTGTATTGATCTAGTTCGAGCATTAATTTATTCATCTAGACTGTCTATCTGGTACCAATAACACCTTGATAATTTGGTTACAGCTGAGAGTAAACTATGACGAAAATTAGTCCAGAATGCAGTTCTGCCACCCTTGTTCGCCCAATAGACAAGACAAAACACAACAAAGCGGTTAGAAGACTTTAAACTACGCAGTTCAGATTTATGACTCACTCATATAATATTATCGGGTAAAATTTTGACCACACAACAACATTATCAGCATGATTGCACCATAAATGGAAGAGAAATGAGTAACAGGTCTATCATCGAATTAACAGTAATTTGATTAAAGTATAAGATATAACAACAGCTTATGCATCACGCAAAAGCTAACAGAGAAGATAATACAACAGTACAGTATTTTAAGTATTTCATAAATGTGCCGGGCACCAAACTGTTGATATAAATCCCATAATTTTTAAACAGGATTCCATCAAGGTTACTGTAAACAGTATGTTGTCTATAATTTTTTAAACAGCAACTCGAATGTTTTGTTTTTTAAGGTAAACAACAATGGATTCGTGAAGAGGCGTTAGCAAACATAGTTGCTGTTGAGGTAATCGATTTACCTGTTTCAGAGTTTCAAGCGAAAATTGAAGAAGAGTTTAATCATGCAAGCAGTAAGTTAACTTGTTTCTATCAGTCAGTAGATTATGTGACTAGGCTATTTTACTTGTTTTCCCTCTTATCTCTCATAATTTTTTTATTTATTAATTTAAAAGTGTACCACTGAAGGACTATGCTATACTACTATAATTACTGAGGAAACCTATTGCGCGATTAAACAAAATAAAAATATCCAATTAAGAAAATCTTTTCGGCAATTGAACTTTAAGCTACCCCAGTATACTCGAAAATACTGGATACTGCACATTTACTGCAAACTAAAAAAACGTATAGATAATCTCACACATCAATTGAATTGTTAAATTCTTCAGCAAAATTCAGATTAGTAAAAAGTACAAGGCGATACGACTTTACCGAAAGATAGTGTTGCCTAGAATAACAAACCTATTAACGTAATAAGTTCAATAACAGTCCCTATATTTAAAGATTGAACTTTCGACCATATATTTATGTTTTGTATTTTCTTTAAATTTTATGAAACAAAAACACATGGAAAAAATATACGACAAAATTATACATGATTGCGGACCATATAACATGTGACTAATTAGCCATAGACACTACTTAAAATTTATTTAGTATTATTATTGGAGGGAGTGTAGAATTGGTAGGATTTTTAATAGTTTGGATCACGAACTAATCTTAGATAAACCATCATTAAAACCTGAAAGGATTGGACAATGGTTTCGTCCCATTAGAAGACTTTCTAACAGTACGCATCCATGACCCCACATATGAGAGTCAAACCTAGGACCTTCGATCTAGCTCATGAACAAATAGTTATGCGTGTCATCCATCGTACTATCTAGTTTTCATTAGTTCTCCTTCGTATGAGAAGAATCCCAACAATTCGTAATTAGACATTACAAAAGAACTAAATCCTATATATAACAGTGGTGCGCGAAAATTCGAAAGTGCATTTTACTAGTGAGTAAATATCGATGTAAATCTAACGAGCCCCTAGTAACAAGGTGGTAGGTATTCTTCTCTGCCAGAGTCACAAGTCTTATACTTAGAAAAAAAGTGAGTGTAGAAACGTTATGATCAGTTATTACATCTTATCTATATAGAGATTGTAGATATTGCTCAATTTTATTGAGATGAGAGACCGATTTAGGTTAGACAGTCAATAAAAGCTTGAAGGCGTAGGATGACTGTTCTGTATTAGTTTAGGCTTCACCAGTAGTGTGTCTCTGTGACCCCACCATCGGGGATCAAGTCAAGGACCTCTAGCCTCGCACGCGAACACTTAACCTCTTAACCACTGAGCCGGAATTCACTGGGGTATATATCTGACCTCAATCACTTTACGATATTGCGCAACCCTCATCCATTGCCTTCGTGAACAACTCTCATACCTGACATAGTTAGACTCCACTGATCACGGCTTCTCATTAGAACTTCAGGAATTGCATCTTGAAGCTAGTGACTAGTGATCACATGATAAAAGAATTAGCTGTCCTGTGCTTTCTGGTTTTTACTAGATGTAGAGTTTTGGGTATGTTTGTTATATTGATATGAAACTAGTTGTTAAAAGTGATTTACCTATTGTAATTGTTTCGATACTGTGGGAGAGCTTCGAATAATGTTCTATATTTCATTCTGTTATGTTTCAACAGACAACATTCTGGAAATGTTTATTCAACGCTTAAAATCACAGATGTCTCAATTAGTTGTAAGTTGTTGATTTCTCTTACCTTATATACAGTTTGTTTAATTTTGTTTATATAATACTTAGAGAAACAAAGTTTTAATTTTCCATGTTTAATAAACTTTGCCTTTTAGCGTAACGCTATAAACAATGAATCGATTTTCAAGTATTGCATGTCCCTACAGAAATAGACAAAATACTTATCATATTTTTAGTACGCGTCAAATATTGAGCTCAGCCGAACTTCTGAATCTTTCCTATCAGAAACCATTCTTAAGTTTTTCTTTCATTGTCCGATTTCAGTAAAATCGTATATTGATCTACGTCAGACAAACTTTAAAAAATTGAAAGTACTGAACGGCCGTTTTGTGGTGTTGTCTACTTATATCTATATAAGTAGTATATGGTGTGGGTCAGACATAAAATGTATTTTGGCAGAAGACCGATGAAGAAAGAACTGAAATGAAACGCAAACGTCTGGAAAATGCATGAGCAATGGAATAAGAGAAGAAACAGTAAAGATTGAAACAATTGGTTGTTAATTTGCAAATTGACTGTTCATTGTTTGGTAATCAGAATTTATTGAGATAGTCTGTAATCTTTACTTAAATACATTCGATTGTCCCCAACTAGTGTTTTGTTCACTACAGTTTCATTATAGTGTGGGACTCCTCTGCAGTGCAAATTCACGATCCCACACAAGGTAATCGAACTAAGGCTTTCAGTCCCGCGTGAGCACACCTAACCATTTAGCTGCTATCCAACGGTGGTCTGGAAGTTAGACGTTCATACACCCTTAGTTTGATTCCTCTATGTGGGATCATGGATTTGTATCTCTAAGGAGTCCCATACCGGGACAAAACATGTAATAATAATATAATTAATCTTTTGAACCGTTGTCTCTTTCAACTGAATTTGGAGCGTAAATTAAATTGACGAATTAATGCTACCATATTTAGGTTTTACTGGCTTTTAAAATTTTTCCAAATTTTTCTTTTTATTTCACGTTATTCATTCAATTGCATGTCTTTAGGTGAAAAAAATCATTTGCCTAAAATATTAGAACATCAGAATATCAATAATTAATTATGTAAATAAAATAGATGAAAAATACAGATACTAATTCATTGGTAAATTGTAGCTTCCAGTTTCCCATTTTCGTATATTTCCTCTATCATGACAAGCAAAAAGCTTTGTGATATTTGTAGTACTACTTACGTTAGAAATGTTGGGGATGCTAGATCCCCCAAAATCACTTGTTAAGGTCTCATTTTTTCTAACTGTATTTTGGAGATTGGGATTTCTCATTTTCGCGCCACAGCGACCATTTCTATCTCCAAATTGTATTTCACATTTTGAAGGACCTTAAATGTTATTGATTCGTTTCCTTTTACTTTGTGACGTTTTCAAGGACAGTTTTGTACTACGTATATGAACATGAGTTGTGTGCTTGTTCGTTAGTGCTTCCAACTGCTTGTGGTATATGTATATCCCTATTGTATTTCTTTTATCAAACATATTTAGGTATGGACGAAGCATTGGATTTATAACATACCAAATTTATTCATGGCTATCGTATCGTCTAAACCATTTTTCAAGCATTCATCTAATGGTGATCTGTCAAAACGTAGAGTACTACCATCATCATCTTCTTTACAGGACTATTCATCAAGTGATCCATCGTCTTTTTCAAGTTATTCACATAGTTTTCCACCTAGATGGCAATTTTCATCACATATTTCCTCTTTAAATGTCAATAATTCTACTAACAATGATAATACCATTGATAATGTAGATGGCGATAAGCTAAATGTTTATAAATCATCTCAAATAGATCCCAAATTAACATCATGGGATGAAAAACTTACACGTGATAATTTCAATGTTCATAAAATGTTGGTTGTAGCTACCTCAGTCGGAAAAGTAAGTGTTCTGATTATCTATTTAATTGTCAGTTATCATTACTAGAGATTTTTATGGAAATTGTTTCTCTTTCTAATGATTAATATCAACTGACTGCCAGAACTTCATCAGTACACTATACTGTATACTGACTGATTAATGTATTGGATTTTTGTCTTACTTAATTACTTACGCCTGTTACTCCCAATGGAGCATAAGCCTCCCACCAGCATTCTCCGACCCACTCTTTCCTGGGCCTTCCTTTCTAGTTCTATCCAATTTTTGTTCATTTTCTCACGTTTTTCTGCATTTCTCGGCTTAATGTGTTCTTTGATCATCTTCTTCTCCTTTGACCTTCAGGACTCCATGTGAGGCCTTGCCTTGTGACGCAGTTGGTTGCTTTCCTCAATGTGTATCCTTTCCACTTCCAGTGCTTCTTCCTGATTTATTCCCCCGCTGGAATCTGGTTTGTTCTTTCTCACAGTAACTTGTTGCTGATAGTGTCCGACCAACGGATCCGAAGTATCTTGCGTAGACAACTGTTAATAAACACCTGTATCTTCTGGATGATGGCTTTCGTAGTTCTCCAGGTTTCCGCCCCATACAGTAGAATTGTCTTGACATTTGTATTGAAAATTCTAACCTTGGTGTTGGTTAACAATTGTTTTGAGTTCCAATTGTTCTTCAGTTGTAGATATGCTGTTCTTGCTATACTGATCCGTGCCTTCAAATCTGCATCAGATTCATCGTGTTCGTTAATTGATACTGCTCAGACATGTAAAGCTTCGTCAAGTGTGATTCGGTTGATGCATGTTGTGTTGTATCGGAGAATCGTGTATGTTGAGACATACTGCTGCTGAGGCTGCTGCTATACTGGCCGTTTTCTCCTTCATTTGTTGTCGCGTGTGATAGAAGAGCCAGATCATCTGTGAAGTCTAAGTCGTCCAGCTGCATCCTAGCTGTCCACTGTATCCCGTTCATCCCTCCATACGTTGATGTGTTCATGATCTAGTCGACCACTTGTTATATTTCATTGTATGATATTGTAGTAAAACTCCGAAAACCCGATTATATGATAACAAGATCTGTTGAATATAAGTATGATTGTTTGTTAGTTTTATTTTTTACGGTAATTGTCACTGAATTCATTATTGATTGTAAAACACAGTGTAGTTATTCAAATGTCTCTAAGCAACTTTTAAAAATAATTTTCTTGACTACCATATCATGTTATTGGTCAAAGTTGCTACAAGCTATTCTAATAGTGCTGGAAATGCGACATTCATCGATGTTGAGATAAAATTCCCAAGTTATAATCCTGGGTATAATTTCTCTCTCTTCACTTATACTATTTTAGCTGTCGGTTGCCAACGTATTTAGCTTTGACCAACTATACGCTCTGATTGGCACGAATAACCTTTATTTGAGGTTGCGGACCATATCTTAGATGTAGCAATTTGTTCTTATCCTAAAAATAATCATTTCTGTTTATTATTCCTCGTTTACGATGTACATATTTATATTACTCTGGATTTTTTGGAGTATATTTAACACTGACTGTTTTGACTACAAAAACGTTAGTCGATATCACTTGATAAGACTCATCACCAATAAGGATCCTGGAAATTTTCATATACGTTAGCGTCATGAGCTTTGAACGGTCACAATTGAACTTGAATTGAGATGGAGTTACTTAAAGCTCATGGTAGCTCGCCAATAAATAAATCTTCTATTCCCAGGCTTTTGTACGAAGAAGAAAATACAACAGGAAAGCCTCTATTTTTACATTTCAGGCACTCAGTATTATCTATCTCAAACACTCATTACTTTAATGCATGAATTATCAGACGACAACTCACCCTGAATGAGGAATCATATTTTCAGTGTAATTAATATAACAAGGTGGGGAGAAACAGTGCACAATTAATTGACAACAATAAAAAAATAATAAATCGTATAACGGTAGTTAGTAAGTCCACTGGAAGCATGTTATGTAAAAAAATATCCTAATCATCTGATAATTATATCATTAAAACATAATGATAGCTCGTAAAATAGTCTCAAAAGTTCCATCGTCTTCAATACTAACTACGTTCCAGCAAATAACCTGCAATTTGTAAACATAAAATATTCTTACGTTATTTTATACGATATTTATATACGTAGTCTATTTAGTAAGTACACGAATTAAGGTCATACGAACTCTTATTTTATGAAATCTAGTGCACAATAGTCCTATCTTTCAAATTCATTCTCATTTAATTTCAATACACTTGTTCTATCACGTTTATCACTGTTCAGAGCATCTTTGGAAGTCATCAGATGTCACTCTCTGACCTTGCATATCATCCTAACATTCTCTTGTTGAGCATCCATCAAATTTCTTAATTCAAGATTTTGTGAACCAAGATATTGTATATGTGATCACAAAAGCTCTAAATGCCTGTCATTCTCAGCTGTACATTAAACTGGGTAATGTTCGCTGTTAGCATTATTGAGACAAACAAAACTGACTTTAAAAACCAATATCTTAAACATTGTTTTGTTTATTTATTTTATCGTGTTTCAAATGGCATGTACTTTTATTACGGCATAGTTCTTTCCTCCAGCTTTTTTAAACAATGAAGATTTCGTTACCATCATCTTTTTTACTTGTCATCTTAAATTTTTTTTAGCTGTTTGGTTTAGAAAGTGAACGTGGTCGTATTGTTTGGGATTATTTTGTCCCATCTGCAAAACTTTTAGCTAATGAAAAGCTTGCTCTCTTCCAACAGCGCAATTTAGCTCATTTTCCTTTACCACCTATCATGTCACTTTTATTTCGATCAAAGGTAAGCTTTAATTCCACTTTCTTCCTGTTAATTATATATTTTGTGTGTTGGATTGCATTGATGTATAGATCACAATTTTATGAGAATAAAAGTATGTATATATCAGTTTACCAGTGCTAGATCGGCTTACAATAAACTCTATCAGAGCCTCCAGAGAGGCTCATAAAGAGACCAACCAATCAGCGATTAGTTAGAAGCTATGCTACTAAAATGCTACTAAAATAACAAGGTCCTGATTGGCTGTTAACATACTGTTACTATGGGATCTCAAGGTCTTTTAGCTACTATAAAACCCCTGTTTTTCTGTACATAATTGAACCTTGTAGTAAAGTGCTTCTCTGATACTCGTGTCTTCTCTCTGGTCTTCCAAGTCGCTGAGTAGTGCTAGCCTGGGGTTATCCGAATAGCTAGGATCCGAATAAAACGTTCAACTTACGAGTCATAACAACCAGCACATAACTTTTACCAATGTTTATGTGTTCAAATACGTAAATAAAGTCATTGATATTTTTGTTATTTTTAAGTGTTTGGCGGCAATCTACATAATGCTCTGGATCTAGGTTTCATGCTCGTCAGAAAGCCATGTCTATAATGTTAACGGAAAATCGACCGTCAACACTTGGGACTAAAATTGATGGCATCGGTTACTAATCAGTGGTCATTTAGTTGCAAAAATCTCAGTCCTATAAGAGGTCAATCACGACTTAAATAAATCATTGGTAAAGTTTTCGATGGATACTGGTTGATTCAAGCCTTATGGACAGCATTAATTCTCATCAAAAGTAAAGATATATCTTGTTGGTAAGTGGGGAACTGACGCGATACCTTGATCAAAGGCATCCTATCTATTTCCTCCATACACTTAGCTTCTAAGCATAATAAACCCGATGTTAAGTCACTTAGACTGATGGCCACATTAAAGCTTAATAGAATTTGAAGGGGATTTGTGGAGATTTCAGTATTTTTCAAAGTTGAAACCATTAGTCAATTGAAGCTAGACCACCATGGAAAACCTGGAAGAACTGGACGGCCAACTTGTCCTAATATGGGACTCCTCAGCAGTGCACATCAACGATTCCGCACTCACGAGATTCGAACCCAGGACTTACCAGTCTAGCTTCAATTAACTCATGATTTCAACTTTGAAAAATACTGAAATCTCCACAAATCCCCTTCCGATTACAATCACATGCTCACTAGTAACTGACTTCAAGATACATGTCCTGGAGTTCTAGTGGGAAGCAGTGACCAGTGGAGTTCAACCACGTCTGTTGTGAGATAACAACTCACTGGATACAATGGTGGATGGTCGCTCAATTTCGTGGATTGGTTGAAGTCAGACATTAACACCGTTGGATGCCGGCTCAGTGGTCTGTCGGTTAAGGGCTCTGGCTCGAGAGCGGTAGGTCCTGGGTTCGAATCTCGTGAGTGCGGAATCGTTGATGTGCACTGCTGAGGAGTCCCATATTAGGACAAGTTGGCCGTCCAGTTCTTCCAGGTTTTCCATGGTGGTCTAGCTTCAATTGACTCATAGTTTCAACTTTAATAGAATTTGTTCGGGATCAAGAAGTAGATACGGGTTACATTTTATATAATCAATCTCCTTCAAAAATGTAAGTAAACCAAGAATAACATAATTCATAAACCTTTTTCATCTTGTTTTGTAACTGACTATCACAGATAGCGCTATCTAGACCAACTCAATAATAAAAGGGATTTGTAAATTACGAATAGTGTTTTTGGAATAATAGTATTAGATAGTTATTTTGTGACGCAAACATAGTCCATTGAACTCCACTACGGTTCATTGAAAGTGGAACTTGCAGTATTTATCATCAATAAAATCAAGTGTGCTCACCGCTCCTCCTCCTAAGAGAGTGTGGAACATTTGTTCCTATCAAACTTTTAGCGTAAATTTTCTCAATTAACAATTTAGATTCAATGTTTATCTCTTCTCTCATGACATTTTTTGAATTAAAATTTTCACACTATCCAATTAAATTGTTTATTCGTAGATTACAAATCGACGGGTACTTTTCTCATTCAATCCAATTACTGGTGTTCCATCACATGAAAAAGGTATGGATTTGTATACATTGAAATCGGATATTATTCAAACTGTCTTGGAACCTGGTTCTGTAAGCGAACGATGTGAATTTATTAGACCTCTGTTGTTGTTAAGGACAGATTTAAACGTAAGTCAACTTTGAACTTAAAACAGTCTTTTTGCATAACATTTTGTTACAAGTATTAAAAAAGAAATACTTTGTTTTAAAAATAATCTTGTCCAAAAATTGGCATTAGCGACTCCTATTCTAAATCAATCGTAGGACTTTCGGGTCTCATGATTAAAGCGATTCCACAACTGAACCAATAATCAATTGGGTCTATACACTCATGTAAACAACAGAAATCTGTCTTTTCCAGTTTTCTGTTTCCACCCCTTTTTGCTACTATTTTGGCTGAGAAACGTGGCCTTTGGAGTAGAAGTGCACGTAGACTTCAGGTACTTGATTATAGGGGTTTTGCAAGCTTAGTGGAACAACTGAATAATCAACGTTGAGGTTAGGGGTAAGATACTTAATTTAGCGAATCGATTTTTGAGACTATGAATCTTCATCGAATTAGGTTGTTTGGGCACATATTTCGGCGAAGTTGTTTGGAAGGGAATTGGAACGCCCCCTCATGCCATTGTATGAAATTATTGACTGTTCGAGTGAACTTTGTTGGTAGGTGGAAATTATTTGGTTTTTATACTCGAAGTAAAAGCGATTGATTTTTAATCTTAAGTAACATGAATCAAGATCAACGACAGTTTCCCAAATATATGTATTCTTTTTCCTCTTAATCTTCAACCTTACTATTTTTTCATACTTCCCCGTATCTCCGAATGCTAAGTCTTACTCATTGTTATCAATACTACTTTGATTTCGACTCTTTTGATATCCCTCTTGTCCATTTCATTTCGGTAAACTTATATGTTATGGCAATTTGGGATGATTCACAATGATCCTAGCTCTATTTCGGTTGCTTAAGTGACTGAACTTTCTGTTTTTATGCTTTAATCAACGGTTATATGAAATGAGTTGATTTCTCTGTGTTTATTACATTGAGTGGCCACAATCAGTCAGATATAAAAATGTCCAGCTTCTCGACTGTTTTGAGTACTTTAGTCAGTCTAAGTAAATTATCTTTAATCACTTGTCCTAAAAGCTTTCAGATTTATCAGTTTTGTAACATTGACCGTTACAAAGGATTCTTGCTAGATACACAGAAGTTGCCGTGCCAGGCGTAAGGTACTCATCAAAGACAATAAAAGATAATCGCTCGATGTGGGTTGATTGGAGTTAGGCTTGTAAACCTTTGTATCCCGGCCCAGTGTTCTGGAGCCCCGGGTTCGATCGCTGTTTGCAGGCTCGTAGAAGAGTACTTCTTAAATGTTGAACACTAGGACTTATCGACAATGGTGTATATGCCTTATAACACTGGATGTCGGGTGAGATATTTGAAAGTTAACATTCTCAGTGAGTCCTGAAGGTCATTGTTTTAACCCCAGTTGGGATCGTGGATGCTCACTACCGAGGAGTTCTATAATAAGACGAAACAGTTGTTGTGTATTTCTCAGTCTTTAATAAGTATCTGACTTTAGTTTTTGGTCTCAAAACCATACAATAATCTCCACAAACCCTTTGCATAGATAGTGATTATCTTTTTCTATGAAGGTAATTAATTATTGATTCAATGATCTTGAAAAATCTGTTTGATTATTACAGGTTGAAGTTTATCCATCTACCTGTACCCCTACGTATTCATCATCAGATTCACAGCCCTTATATATTTTTACTATTGAACGTGAAGAAGCTCGTCTTACCGGTTATCAGATAAATCCAGTATCTTCAGACGGTAAATCTTTGAAAGCTACACGTGTCTGGCGAATGTTATTGAGTCCTGATTCTAGTCCGGTTAACAAGCATATCATCGTCGCTGCAGCTTCACGTCCACCTTCTGGTATGATTTTACATTTATATATTTCAGTTACTTTTTTATGGTATTATTGTTTACGAATAATGAGTCTATTCACTTTTTCTCTCTAAATAAAAAAGTATCCAAGTAAATAATTTCACAAGCCTAACATTGTTGTTTTTCCATAACAGTTGATTTATTGTCATTGTCTTCATTGTATTTTGTGTCTCATTCATGTAATGTGAAATATAGGAACTATAATCGATTCAGATTTTTCTAATGTCCTGCTTTTTTTCCATAACTTAACTCTTAGCTAATCAATTATTAAACACTGATTATCTCAATCGATCAGTTGAATGTCAGTGTAGATTCTGGCATAAATAAATATGCATTGGACCAAGTCTCCATAACAATAATCATTTAAGATAATTTTGCATAAAAATCTAGTTTTTGGCTTGATCAAATAATCCATTGATTGTCTTCCTTAGATGTAAATGTAACGAATACATACAAGAACCCAATTGTTGAAACTAAGTGGATTTGGTCATTGTTAAAACGTTCATTTTATGCGTTTTTTTCTTTATCTGATTAAGTCTTGTTGAAACATCTAGATTTTTTGTCAAACCATAATCTAGTTATAAATTTAAATTTCTAATATTCATAATTTCCTCCTTCTTTTTTGTTTTCATCAAATTTTTATTTCATTTTTTTGTGTGTTTCAGAACATATTTATTCAGTTGGTCGAGTATTGGGTGATAGAAGTGTTCTTTACAAATATTTAAATCCTAATCTAATTGCAGTACTTACTGTTGGTGGTGATATCAACAGTCATACAAATACATTGATGATTTATTTGATTGATGTTGTAGCTGGTCGAATATTGTATAGTGCTGTACATCGTCGATGTTCTGAACCTATTAGTCTAGTGCATTCAGAGAATTGGATTATTGTAAGTTGAACAAGTATTGTTTGCCAGAGATTCTATATTATTTTGAATATATCCTTTTTACGCTTGTTTATTTTGAGACCACCGGTGAGAAATGGTTAGGTTTATCCATAGCGTACTAAGTAAAGACAGGAAGTTATTTGGTGACGTAAATCTTCATTAAATGAAGTAGTTGGGACATATTTCATGTATGTTCAACCATCGTCGACCTTAACGTGCCTTATTGTCCGGTGTAGGAGTAGGTTGGAAGTAAGCTACGGGTAACCAAAACAAGATGTTGGTACCGATCTATCAGGTCACTGACAACTGGATTTAATCATGTTAATGAATATAGACTACCTGACTTAGATTCGCTTGATTATCATAATTAATTGTTAGAGACTTAGGGTTTGAAATGGTGGTGATGCATTCATTTTTTCTCTTCCCTTAGAATTTAAATCCCGAAATGCATCTACTTCATTGTGAGCAATTTTGAACTGTGTCATCCATTAGTTTTGTTAACCACGTGGACTCCAACCAGGTATTCTGCGCCAGTCAACGATACTGAGTTCAATAGTCTATGACTTCGTGTACTGATACGATGTTTTAGTTTGATCACCTCTATCTTTGTAAATATAACACTATTCTTTATAGATACCACTTATTAATTTGCTAAGCTTGTTTTACTGTTTGCAGATTATTATTTTGTATTAAATTCAAGTATGTATAACGAAGCTTTGAAAAATGTTATACGTTATACTATTGCTATGATCGATAATTTTCTCGGCCAATATCATCAAAGTATCTACGTATTGGAATGTGAAGTTGTTACATACCATGAAAGTTCAATTTTTAAAATTAGTGGTATAATTCATTATACAAGTACATATTCATGTGCTTATCTTTGAATCATATTTATCTGTTTAGCGGGTCGTGATACCTTACTTGGATGCCTAAATATAAAGCAACATTTGAACCTGTGAACATTACTAGCCGAACGACTTAAACACGAACCCTACTGATGGTACATGATAACTTGTTTACAGTTATGTGTAGCTACATATTCTAACAAGCAATACTATGTGAATAATTTGTGATTTTATTTGTCTAATGAAAGTTTTATGTCGTTCGGAAATGTCTTATAATTAGTCGAAGGATATTTAAATGTCTTACTATTTCAATATTACTGTCTTGTTTGAAAATTCCATGCGAAATTTTTTATCCATACTTTTCTCCAGTACATTGTTTTAACGTTTTCTCCTTTCAAATTTCTTTAAAGTATACTTATTATAATCACAAATCATTACGCAATGAAGCTACCGTTATTGAATTATATGAACCGACTAAATTATCCGGGGAATTATGTGCTAGTCAGTCAATTCCAAGCCCTTGGCAATTGTTTCTCAACAATCTTGTTCCTTCGTGGTTGTTATCTAATCCAAGTTCATTAAAAGGATCTGGTGATTTAACCAGTTTTTCACGTTTCTCATCTTTATTTCGTGCTAGTGATGTTGATGGTTTTTGTAGTTCAACTGGTGAAAATTCTTTAATACCTCAAGTTCTACAACAATCTTACATACTAAACACTCCACCACGTAGTGGTGCAGTGACTGTTTCAGTTACTGAGAGAGGAATAACCGCCAAGAATATAATTTGTAAGTAAGAATGGGTTTTTGATTTAATTCTTTATTTAAATTTCGATAATGTAATAAGAAGACGAAGATTATCAGAACTTATTACATTATCGAAATTTATCAAAGGCACTAATTGCTTTAAATTTCTTTATTTAAAGTCGAAATTATTTTGGGTGTCTCTGTGGCTCCTGTCTGGGACGTTAATCGATATCGTTTGCTAGATTCACCGATTAGAATTCTGACTACTATCCCTCTACCTCTGCGTTAATCCCTTTATCCAGAAATTGTATCGAAATATGGTTGAGGTAATTGACAGGAGACTGTAGACCTAATTTTATTAGTTGTGAGAACTTGTCAGTGGGGTGTACCTACCATCTTGAATACAGTGGTGCTGTATAATGGAATCGACTCGTGTTACTTAGATTCACAATCTGAGATAGTATCTCTGGTTTATTTGAATAATCTCAGACTGTAAAATCAGGTGACGGATATGGAGTCCTAGGATTGAGTTTTCAATTTTAACGTATTTTTACATTTTTTCAAATATGTTCCCAATAATGTCGCTTAAAAATTTGTTTTCAATTTTCCAGTGGCTTTACAGAGGAATAGTCTAATTGAACTTCCGAAGTCATTTTTCGATCCACGTCGTAGTTTGGATATGACTTCTGAACTAATGTAAGTTATCATAGAGAGATACTAACAACCTTTATTTTGATTTTGTGTTCATTATATTTAACTTCATTCTTGACGTGTCTTCTATCGTAAAATTTCGGTCAATAATCAATCAGTCAAATGCAAAGTATGACCTTGTATATGTTTACATCAGTTTAGGTTCCCATCGATCCTCACCTATCATCGTATTGTTTTCAAACACTTCTTATGTAATAGTAATTATTCTTGTCACGTATATTCACAATAAATCAACTTCGTCTTATAATTAACAGCGAATTTCGCTTGGCTTAAAAGAGCTACTAAGTATTTCGGAATTCTAATATTTTAATACTTCCTGACCGGCCAGCTTGGCATGGTAGGATCTAAATGAAAGTGTAATCCATTCAATACAGCTCAATTCGACCATTACAATATACTAGTCTGACCACTATGTCGAGGTTGTAGCTGCAGTTAGGATAGTAAATTAGTGAACTAACAATTGGGCTTTTCATAATGCAAAGGTAAATATTTTAATTTACTTCTAACAATCTAATTCATTTATGGAAAGTAATCTACAATTTTGTATTACTGTACCTTGTTATTAGTTTGGAGATAATGTAGTTTATATCATTCAACTATACCATCTGTCGTTGTTCAAGTGGTTAAGATCAAATTTTTAAATATCTTTTTGTTTCCCAATAAGATGTTTTTTTTCCTAGATCTAATGCTATAAGTCTACGAAATATGTCGTTAAAATTGCATACAAGAATATCTGTTGAAGACGATGTGTAAATCCATTCTGCATTTGAATAATGCAACGTAGAAGTTAAAGACTTCTCGTAATCGATCGGCTATAAGAACTTACTGCTCTCTTTTTTCTAATACTCGACTGATTTGTTACTTTCTAATAATCCTTTTCAGTATTTCTTTATAATTGGTTGAATCCTTCATAGCAAAGCGTCTTATTTATAGCTTTCTTTCCCTATCACACTGTACTCTTTTTAGCGATTAAAATGATTATACATTTTCTGAAAGAGTAATGAACACTTATTCTTTTTATATTTCCTAAACTAATCGCGATTCATTAATAACGTAACAGTACGAGAGTACATGTTGAATTCGATTCTCTCTTTCTTTAAATTGCTTATTTTTTAAAATATTCTAGGGAAGAAGGTGTTCATCCTTATGCTCCTGTGCTACCGTTTTCCGATCAAGCTATAATTACATATAATCAATCAATTATGCGAATTCGAGCTATTCGTACAGCACCTACCGGTTTAGAGTCCACTGGATTAGTATTTGCATATGGATTAGGTAAGTATGAAATCTATTCATATATATACTTAGTAAGTTGGTAGCTTTTTTCCAAATCTTTTCCTTCCACATTTATACTGATTGAAAACGTTTGATTTTGTTTTAGCTGTATAATTAGACTGTTGAACTTGTAGAGTGACACTTGACGTAAAGAGTTTGCTCGTGATAAATCAGGTCTGATCTCTTACTTAAATGAGTTTCGTTAGTATGTCTGTAATCTTATTACTACTAATATTAGTAGTTACATCGACTGAGATGGCTGTGCCACGTATTACGCATGCCCAACTACCACGGCGCGCAATGCTGACTAGTGTTGGGGAAATTAGGGGTGGCCAAACCAAAATGGGGCATCAGTCCATAAAGTCACTAACTTCTGGTCTGAGCCATGTTAGTAAATGCAGACTACTGTGGTGTGAGCTACTGATATCGACATAAGTAGTATATATGGTGAGTAAGGAATAGAATATCTGACAGCAGAAGATTGAGAAGATCAAGAAGAGAAGAACAGAAATAAAAAGCAATTTGTGTGGAAATCCAGGAACAATGAAGTCTGAGGCAATTGAAGAACATTTTGCAAATAGTGTATCATAGCATGGTTTTTGTATTTTACCAAGTAACGTTGTAATTTGTGCTAAATACATAGTTGGTTGTCCTCACCTGTGTTCTCATTCACTACATTTGGTATCGCTGCCTAGAAGGATGGAGATTCCATGGCCGAAGGAATTTGAGGACGGAGATGTGCTGAGCTTCCTGAAGGAGTTCGAAGCTGTGGTGGAGCTGGTGGGGGTGAAGGAGCCGAAGGCGAAGACGGTGGTGCTGGGGACGCTGCTGAGAGGCAGAGCGAAAGCTGTATATGACAGCCTGGACGGTGCGGGCGGTAAGACGACATGGGAGGCAGTCACGGAGCGGTTGACCGTGGAGTTCGATAGCCCAGTGGACAGAGAGGAAGCACTGCAGAAGTTCCGAGTGGCGAAGTTGCCGATCGATGGTGATCCGCTGGTGTTGGCCGTGGAGCTTACCAAGTTGCTGCGTCGCGCGCTGCCAAATCTGGATGAGGAGTCGGAGGCACAGTTGTTGGCGTCTAAGTTTATCGAGAGCGTGCCTGTTGCCGTTTCCCTGCAGCTGAGACTGGTACACGCCGCGCAACCTATGGATATCAATGAGCTTGCAAAGGTGACGCGACAGTTGATGACACAAACAGTAGCTCCGGTCGCGTGCGGAAGTCAGGAGATAAGCAGCATTGAGAAGAAGATTGAAGAACTGCAGCACGAGATTGTGGCATTACGAGTGATTCGTAAAAGGAATGATAAGTGTTTCGCATGTGGAGGGACAGGACACTGGAAGATAAACTGTCCAACACGACGAAAACGGAGATATTTTAGACGTTACGTTTTTCCTTCTTACTCTAGGGATCTGGGGGTTGTTGCATTAGTAGATAGAGGGGCAGTCTATGCGAGAGTGAACGTAAATGAACTAGATTTAGTGTGCCTAATCGATACAGGGGCAGCAGTTTCGTTAATAGGTAAAGAGCAATGTAAAAGTTTTAAGCCGTGTAAAGTCGCAGTTCACACTATAGGAGGGCATATGTTAGAGGTATTGGGCGTGTCTAACAGTATCGTAAAAGTGGATGGTTCGGAGATAAGTTTTCCGTTCGTGGTAACCGCAAACCTGTCGAGACCAATATTAGGAGCAGATTTCCTAAGAGAAGTAAAAGCCATAGTTGACCCAAGAAGCGGTAAGGTGGTCACGAAGTACGGTTCATTCTCAATACATGAAAGTAGCGAGGTGGCTGAGGTTAGAGTGGCAACAGCCGTTGTGACGAAGAAACCAAACATCACCGAGTTGTGCAAAAAGTATGCGAAACTGTTTACTGGAGAAGGAGAACCGTACGGATTTTGCGACAAAGTAAAGCACGAAATCCCGATAAAGAACAATGGAGGAAGTATATTCACAACACGTCGTGTCCCTGTGCACTTAGAGGCTGAAGTAAATCGACAGGTCCAATTGATGCTGAAAGAAGGAATAATTGAAGAGGCGGACAGCCCGTATAGCTCACCGGTACTCTTGGTAAAGAAACCGAATGGGAAATATAGATTTTGTGTTGATTTTAGAGAACTGAATAATATAACAGAACTAAAGCCGTGTGCAATGCCAACAGTAGTGGAAACATTAGATCGGCTGCAGAATGCCACGGTGTTTACAGTGTTGGATTTGCGGTCAGGTTATTGGCAGCTGCCTATAAAAGAGAGCGATCGAAGCAAGACAGCATTTACCATTCGTGATAAACAATATCAATTTAGACGAATGCCGTTTGGATTGGCGGGTGCACCATTTACGTTCAGAAGATTAATGTCGCTACTGCTCAGGGATCTAGATAACGTCGAAGTGTATGGCGACGATGTAGTCGTATACAGCCAGACAGAAACAGATCATGTCAAGCATGTGGAAGCGATCCTAAAGCGAATTGAAGAATTCGGACTTCGAATTAATAAAGACAAGTCACAGATGGCGAAAAGTAGCATCACGTTGTTGGGGCATAAAGTGGGAAATGGAGAAATAAAACCACTGCCCGAGAAAATTCTGACTATAAAGAACGTTGCAGTACCGAATTCGAAAAGGAAATTGAGACAGTTCCTGGGAAGGGCGGCGTTTTACAGTCGGTTCATCAAGAATTTCAACGAAATAGCAGCACCCCTTTATAAGTTGTTGAGTAACACTAAATTTTCGTGAACTGAAACCGCCCAACAAACGTTTAATCAAATCAAAAACATGCTGGACGACCGCCAGATGACGCTCAGACTACCCGAACTGGAGAAACCGTTTACAGTGACAACAGACGCAAGTGACCATGGTATAGGTGCCGTTTTAAGTCAGTCTGATAGAGTGGTGGAATACGCAAGTCGCGTTCTCACGCCTGCGGAACAGAAGTATTCAACGATCAAAAAGGAGTGTTTAGTGATTGTGTGGGCAGTAGACAAGTGGAGACCATATCTGTTAGGTAAACGATTTCACATCGAGACTGACCATAAACCTCTGCAGTGGCTACAAACAGCACGAGACCCACGTGGGAAGTTGGCGCGATGGATGATACGTCTGCAGGAGCATGACTTGAGTATCGGGCATGTTCCAGGGAAGGAAAATGTAATGGCGGACTATCTGTCAAGAACAGACATGGAAGCCGAGCTTCCATTGACAGCATACGCAGTGAACAGTATAGAGGGAGACCCACTAGAACTCGTCCGGCAACAGAAATCTGATTCTAAACTTCGAGAGGTAATCAGAGTGATAAGAGAGGGGGCAGATTTTGACAAACGAGCAATGGACAAGGAGGCAATAATGTTGCTTCGGCAAAAGGAAAGACTGAAAGTGAACACATATGGAGCTCTGGTCTGGCAGGATGATGACAAAAATTGGGTGGCTGTGATCCCGAAGGACTGGCGGCGTAAGATGATACACGAATGCCATCAGGTAGCGCACACAGGTATCGCAAGAACGACAGATTTACTACGGCAAAGTGCATACTGGCCAGGCATGAGAGACGATGTGGCCCAATATGTGTTGACGTGCCAGCAGTGCCAATTAATGAAAAGCGATAGATACATGCAACCGCCATTGCAGTCGGTCCCAGTAACCGCAGTTGGTGATCTACGGTCGGTAGATGTGATGGGACCATTTCCACAGACGGATAGCGACAACCGATACTTACTAGTAATGACGGAACATGCTACACGATGAGTCGACGCTGTACCGATTGCCGACCAGCGGGCGAAAACAGTGACCGAAGTAATAATCCGGCACATTGTAGCAGGTCATGGAGTACCGAAGATGATACTAACCGACCAGGGTCCCTGTTTTGAAAGTGACGAGTTTAAGGCCCGTTTGAAGCAGTTCGGTATCAAGAGGATACGAACTACACCGTATCACCCTCAGACGAATGGGCTTACGGAAAGAAACAACCGGACATTAAAGGAATGGTTAGCATCTAAAAGAGGGAATTGGGAGAAAGAGTTACCACTAATTTTGCTGGCGCATCGTGCCTCCATCCAAGGAACAACTAAGAAATCACCTTTCCTACTTATGTATGTTAGACAGCCACGACTTCCGATGCATAATAAGACGTGGCCACAGCAGCAGAAGTGGACGGCAACAAGATTAAGGAAAGAGAGGGCGGAGGCAATAAAGAACGTGAAAAAGAAACAAATATCAGACATCAAGAAGGCGGAACAGCAGAGAAGAGCATGGAAGCCTTTTAGAGTGGGGGACCTGGTAAAGTGTAGAGAACGGAGAGCTAACACTGAAGGGGGGCCAGGGTCAGGAAAGCTGACCCCGAAATGGGAGGGACCGTACATTATCACGGAGAGACGCGGCCCAGTTTACACGATCCGGAGAGAAGACAAGCAGAAGCGTGTAAATGCCAGTCAACTACAGAGATGGTTTCAGGAACATCATGAGCACGAGTCACGAACAGCACCAAAGGAGACAATGGTACGGCGATCAGAAAGATTGCGAGAACAGCTTATTAAAAGGGGGGACGAGTGTGGTGTGAGCTACTGATATCGACATAAGTAGTATATATGGTGAGTAAGGAATAGAATATCTGACAGCAGAAGATTGAGAAGATCAAGAAGAGAAGAACAGAAATAAAAAGCAATTTGTGTGGAAATCCAGGAACAATGAAGTCTGAGGCAATTGAAGAACATTTTGCAAATAGTGTATCATAGCATGGTTTTTGTATTTTACCAAGTAACGTTGTAATTTGTGCTAAATACATAGTTGGTTGTCCTCACCTGTGTTCTCATTCACTACACTACTAGTTTGAGGTCCGCACGACTATCGTAACCAGTGGCTAGAGACCCTGAGTGACATGGCTCAGAATCGATCACAATGGTGTAGGTGTATATACTATTTGTCTGCCATTAAACTGTGAGATTAAGATTATTTTATACTTTTTCTTTCTACGAACCAGTTTTTACTCTGTGTCATATGTTTATATGCAATTTTTTACTACCATTGCATTAATCACTTCTATGAATTTGGTGATCATCATGTTGTGCTAATGAGGTATGGTAACTTGGACCGATGTATATATGTGCTTGGTCCTATGTTGTAGCTGACTGACTGACTGAATATAAGTAATGGTACGTTAGTGTGTTTTAAATTAACTCAGCGTTAAATTGTATATGTTCGTTGAAACGATCCAACTGTATACGAATTACATACAACTTCGCACTCCTTATCCCACCTTACATACATGACCGTTTGAAATTCAGTTTGCAACATTGTACAAGATCTTCTTATAAGTTTATCCTGAATCTCGCCTATCGCTCAAAACGTAACCTAACTTTAGACTGCTGGCAACCATTGATGATGATTCTTATACAATTTTTTTAAATTTTTTATTCATTATAACATAATTGTGTTGATATAATTCATGTGCACTTCTCGATTTAAACTCCCTTATCCAATTTTGTTTCGTTTTTTATATTTCAGATTTGTTTTTCACTCGAATATCACCTTCACAAACATATGATTTACTTAAAGAAGATTTCGACTATACTGCAATAGCTACTGTCACATTAGGAATGATAATTGCTTCCATTGTATCATGTCGTTTAGCTACAAGACGAGCAGTTCTTCGAGCTTGGGCTTGATTTCTAGTTCATGTAGATTTATTTGATAATTTGTTTTTTTCTCTTTGTATGCTTATGAAAATAATGGTTGTTTCATTTATGTATGATTTATTTGACTTGTATAATTTTTCTTTACATTTGTAATATTTTCTATACCTTTGTCAATGTTATGTATGTATAAATAAATGTGTTCTCATTCATATAAATTTTGTTTTATTAATGGTTTCTGTTATATCCAGATCTTGAATTTTCGCTGTAAAGCGAACAATTTGAGCATTAAAACTCTTGAATCATCCAAGTCTCAAGTTAGAGGACAGAGGACCAATGGAAAAAATCTCATTCCAATCAATGTCGAATGTGATACAAAAATACTAGGGTATTTATAGTTTTTTGGTACAATGAAACCATCATTACAATCAGCCAATCCACATGAAGTGGGTTTTAGTATTTGCCCAATGAGGAAGTTACGTGTCGAGATTCTGGAATGCTCTTCAAAATAATGATTGGATGGGAATTTTTTGATTCTTTGAGAGCTTCCTTGAGTTCACCTGGAGCCGTCTCCACACCTCCTCTTCTTAGAGTCTCTTATGTAAGACTTTCCACTTGAGACTTATCTACCACATTCCTTTTGCGATCCATCACTTTCGAAGGTTGCACTGTCTTGTCCTTTCGTCATTTATATCTTCTGCTTTTGTTCTCCCTAGGGCTTTTTTGAAATGAATGCACGAGCATTTGAAACAGGAGTCGGCTTTATGTAATCGTTGTCCTACTATCCCTTTAGATTTGATTTGCAGGTCTTATAAAAGTCCGGAAACTTATCCAGACTAAATACAGTACTTTTCCAACCCGACATTCAATAATACCTGCTTACTCTTTTCTATTATCTTGTTTGGCCACCGGATTGTTATCCCCAGGATTCTTCGGCAGCAAGTCCTAGAACGGTCCCATAGTGGGCACCCGGGAATACGTAAAATGAAATTACTGACTCGAAGCTACGCATACTGGCTATCGATGGGCTGGGACATAGAACAAAAGTGTTGTAGCTGTTGGCGCTGTCTAGAAGCCGCAAAGAATCCGACTAAAGGATAACCCAAATCATGGACAAAACCAGACGAGACTATAGCAACTATCCTACAATTCATTATGATTATGGTTAACTTTGGTTAAGCCTTTTTATTGATTCACTTAACCGACATTGTCATTTGGATAGTAACAATTTGCATATTTCTTTATACTGTTATGATCAGTAGAGCACATGACAAACTCTAGCCAAAACGTTGATTGCTTAACATCATTTGGTGATTCATCCCCCTCCCCATATATGCATGCACTGAAAACCTGTTACTAGCTTTTGCTTTAGTTTGCTGCACCCTTATACAATTTGACTGTAAATTTGCCTATGTAATTGTTTGCAGGTACTTACTCGTGTGCTTGTAGCTTTGTGAGCTGCGTCATTTGACAATAAACTGTAGTTGCCGCTTCTCTTTGCCTTCTGATTTCATGCACCGTTGAGAGTTGTATTATAACGGTTATCGAGGTGAAAGATTAGCGAAGCATTGCACTACAAGCCTAAGCATAGAATATACTCAGATTTCCCTGGTCCAATACAAGGCAGAAACTACTTGGTTGTTTTAGATGCTTTCACGAACTTGCGAGGATTACGCGATATATAAGATTAGTGTTATATATATATATATATATATATATATAACGTTTATTTTATACCTATGTCGGGGTGAATTCAGACAGATTACTTGAATCGACTTTAGGAAGTTTGCATTGGGTTCATCTACAAAGCCTTAAGAAGTTGAATTTCAAGAACAATTCCAACCTTCAAATATGATATAAAATTGTTTTAAATTCATTTGAACACATAAACATTGGTAAAAAAGGACACCACGATGTGTATGTGACACACAAGTATGTGTGGTGTGGTAATACTCGTGTGCCAAAGCCGAGGCAGGTGGTTTTCTTAGGAAGCACTCCGCTAGTCTTTTACCTAGAGGTCTAATCCCTAAGGCAGTAGAACAGACTTAGATGAGATCCATTGGTGTGTGGTGATTGAAAATAGATTCATACGCCTGTAGTGGTCGGCTGGTCTCGATAAGAACACGATTGGAACAACAGAAACAATTATTATTGTTGTAACCAATTGTACCAGAGATTGTTTTACTGTATCTGTTTAACTGTATCAGACTCACTTCTTGTTTCGCTATCCATCTTGTTTGGTTTGAACTTTCTCATGCACTGCCCAAATCGCCTGTACCCGTTGGCACGTCTTGGTATTATTTCGATACCACGAGATCGCCAATAAATATACTTGATCTGGATTAATAAAGCCTTCTGATTTACGAGTTATCAAAGGAATCGTTTCACCGTTTATTTTACGTGCACGATTATCGCACTAACGCTAGGTACCTAGTGGATACAGGTACCCAAATTTCTGTCGTACCTATCAGTAACAGTAAGTCTCAAGCTACGATGCTTCGACTACGCGCTGCGGATGACTCGGTCATTCCTAACTATGGTACACGACAACTTACGGTCAATCTGAGCAAACAGCCTTACGAAGGCCCTTTTCACGTGATTTCCCGTCACGAAAAGACCTTCAAGGTTGATTGACATGGCACGCAAAATAAACGGTCAAACTGAGGTGAAGTGCCGGCGAGTACGGCCGTATTTACTCACCGGCTCGGGAAGTTCCTGCCTTGTATGAGCAGGGAGCTCGACAATGACGGGCACCGGCCCCGAAGGCACGATGGAACCAGCACCAACTCGGACTCGCTTCCAAAGTCGCCTTCTGGCGTGGCTTTGAAGATGCCCGCTTGGGGCGAGTCGTTACAGCCTTACGAGATCGTGACCTGGGTCGCGGGACGTAGGGGTCTGGCACTTTTGTACGGTCTCGAAAACTGAGACGGGTGTGGATACACTTATCCCTATCCTCATGAGCCGTAGGTCGCCTAGCATCGAGGTCAATGTTTGAACGGGAAGTACTAGCAACCACATAGTCGTCTTTGGCGTTAGCTCGTGCTAGAATTTTGTCTGCTATGAGGGCCACCTTGTTGAGTGGGGTGTCCTCGAGCAGAGCCGTAAGAGTTGGTTGGATACTCGCTGGTAATGCTTCGAGCCACAGCTCTTTGACTATCTCGGAGCCAGCTGTTGTGTTTCCTGCAAGAGATTGCAGGCGCGTGAGGTGGTGGCTAGGCTTAGCATCACCCATAGGGTGACGTGCTAATAGAGTCCTCAATCGTTCCTCTCTTGATGGGAGGAAATGTCGAAGGATTGCATCCTTGAGACGGTCGTAAACGTTTGGAACGTTCGGATTGAGGACATCCTCACGAACAGCGGTTAAATGATCCCCGGGCAATGATTCCAAAGCATAGGCGTACTTTTGCCTTTGATTGGTTATGCGGCGAATCTCAAATTGAGATTCCAGTGCCGCGAACCAGACTTCTGGATCATGAGGGATAAATGGAACCGGTCGAAAACTAATAGCCTGTACCTCGGAGTCTATTATATTTATACTATTCTTATCGTTATCCACCATATTAAGTTGCCAAAATATTATATATTGAAAAAATGTCAATACGAATATGTGCAACAGAAGTGGATAGATAAACAGACTCACCGAATTGATCTGGGTTGGAAAGTTGGCCAAGTTTGAATTGTGCTCGACGAATTGGGTTACCAGTTGTGGTTCACCAGATGTATTGCATGTTCCGTTGTCGGGATTACCAGATGTAGTGCGGGTTCCAAATACGGCCCACCAGATGTAGTGGGTGTCGAGTCGAGGATGGACTATGATCACCACTACTATTCGATTACGCGCCCAAAAACGACTTGGTTCCTTTGATAACTCGTAAATCAGAAGGCTTTATTAATCCAGATCAAGTATATCTATTGGCGATCTCGTGGTATCGAAATAATACCGAGACGTGCCAACGGGTACAGGCGATTTGGGCAGTGCATGAGAAAGTTCAAACCAAGCAAGATGGATAGCGAAACAAGAAGTGAGTCTGATACAGTAAAACAATCTCTGGTACAATTGGTTACAACAATAATAATTGTTTCTGTTGTTCCAATCGTGTTCTTATCGAGACTGGCCGGCACTACAAATCTTTAGGCCAAATCTAGACTTATTATTTCATATTGTCTCAAAACCAAATCAACTTGCCAATTAAAATACAAAGACTCCTCAATTTCATAAGGATGAGTTTATACAATATAAAAAGAATAATTGTCAAAAATAGAATAATCCTAGTTTAAAGCTGGTATTTTTATCTTCCAAGATAACTTTAAAGCTAAATATCCCAACTTCCCGCTGTTTAAAGTTGTAACTAGTCTATAATAATTTTAATGAATGAAATAACGTAATCTTAACTTCATAGTTTTCGGTTAAGTTGATCATGTGGATAAAAATGATTCCACATATATTTTAAGCCATTTTTATCGAGATAGAAACACCTAGTTGATAGTTTATACAGATGTGAAATCACTCACTTATGCAAATATGAAGGAGACATTTTATATTAAAGAGAATTCATATTATGTAGACAATTATTTTTCAATCGACTTTGGAATATGACAGTCATAGCTTATTTCAAAAATGAGTTCTCAGTTTAAAGGTAGTTACGTAGAGCAATAGAGTGATTCATTTTAAGATATAAACGTATTAATCATCAAACATCCCTGGAAAAACACTTATTTATATTATCCACCTGTAGCTTAGGTAATAAATGATTCCGAAATAAATAAACTAATTACCTATAAGAATTATGTGATGTACACTTGCATTATAAACTTGTCTTTTACAGTTTATTGGTCTCCATCACATGAAGTCATTGTTTCTTCCTGTTATCAGTCAGTGGACTACATCCTTAAAATGACCTCTTCCATCAACAAAGTTTATCGAGGATCAAACCAAAACAACTCTAGTACATGAGGCCATTGTTCTGATTAGAGATTTAATCTTATGTCTCAAAATCAGTGCGTTTATTATTTATCTTGAATATTACTATTATAAACTGCTATCTTATTTGTTCTTTTCCAGATACATTACTTATCCATTTTTTCACTTGCTTCAGGTTTGTTATTGAAACTTTCAATCCTAATATGATTATTTTTCCAACTCCCTAATGGTGTTATAGTGAACGAGAACATACAAGTGGAGACAACCGAATATATTTGGATACAAAATTACAGAACCTCTTTGTAAAATTTGAGAACCGTACAGTAAATACTTCATTTGCAAAATACCAATCAACTATCTCGGACTTTATTGTTCCTTCATTTCTATACCAGTCATGCTCTATTCTCGTCCTCTTTTCGTCAATCATTTTAACCTTCTGCCGCTAATCCCTTCTCCTGCGATTCATGATACATACTACTTATATCTGTCAACATCAGTAACACAAACTACAGTATGAAGTGTCACGACTTCAATGGATTGAAATTTGTCCCAGGTCTCAACTTGTTTATTATTGGCTTTGTATATTATGCGATTTCACACCATTTTCATATTTCTATGTTCAGTGAAAATTAGAGGTTTACAAGACATCAATTGAAGATTTCTGTTGTATATTGTACCTGTGATACTGAGTATATTATCGTGGTTAGTTAAATGTTTGATTAGTTTGGAAATATAATACAGGGCGAAAGTGTTTTTGACTGCGGATTACAAGAATTACTTCTAAATTGAGTCTGCCCATTAGTTAACAGTTCTGTTTGTATTTCTGCCACTTCCTCACATCCAGCGTTTGACTTCTCATATTATGTCCACTAATTAGTAGATTGACTTAGGTGGACGAGGGGTAGATATGTTTATTACATTTTCATCTTTAAATGAATGAGAACTCTAATACTTATTAAGGTTCAATAACAGTGTTTCGTACTTCATAACTAGCTCCGATTTATTAGGCAGTCCTGTCTTAAAGTTGTCTACCACAGAAGTGTGATTGTCTGGAGCATTGCCTTACAAAAGGTTTCTTGGTGAAGATGGCAATATACATACCCTTCTCTTTATTGTTACAAAATATTAGCGATTACACAGGTTTGCCCAGATTTTATAGGTAACATTTTTAGAACAGCTCTTACAGAGTTTGTTATGATGTATATATCCTATCTAAAGCAAGTGTATGATACTGCTTGCTGTGTGAGAACACAAACCACCGAATCCGCACTTAGCAACTTTGGTCCTTCGTGCTCGTTGGTAAGAGGTGTCAATCATCTGGATACTATTGGGTGTCATATTTTGCACCTATTCCCTACCATGGTATCGCGTGTTTTAAAGCAATAAACCCTGAAACTAGGTCAAGGTGTTATTATTATTCCCCCGTATGGGTTTTGCCAAGTTAGTTAAATTTCCTTTCTGTTGCTACACAAAGAGCGAGTGTGGAGAAAAGCCCTCTCGGCGTCCACAAACTTAAAACAACTTCCAGTTTTCTTATAACTGCACCTGGAGATATTACGTAGTTGACTTATGTTCTTCAGTCAGCAGGAGCGAAATGCCATGAATTATTATGATTACAACTGTAGTGACAAACTGCTTTAAAAGCATCCACACTTTGAACACAATCATAGTCGTGAAAACCTAATTTCTGAACTAGCAAGTGCTTTTTGCTCTCGACATTCCTTTATGCTCATGTAATTGTTTGTACGATATCGTATTATTGCTGAAAACATCATGCTTACTTGAGTAATGTTCAGGCTACTAGTTTCTGCCGACCAAAGCATAGCGTTTGTGGTCAGATAACCTTGATGTAGTCAGAACAGGCAATCATAATTGATAGACAATGTAATCTTTGAAGGTCAATTAACTTCATATTTAGATTGCTATTAACCACAGATTTTAAGATATACATTGAACTTTCTAAGACTAAACAAAATTTCGGGCCACTGATTATACATCGTATGAGTTAGCCGGCTATGTATTATCAGTCTTTTAGAATGAAGATAATAGCCCAGTTAACCTGAATTAATGGTTATAAAAGGTACCTCTCAGATGGTCTAGATCCTTGATGTCGTTGTTAAAGTCGATACATTGTGAGCTCCTGCTTTATTAACTTGTTGTTGGCAACAGTCAAATGGTTGCATTTTTCTAAACATAGTTCATCTAGACATTTGAATAGTAAGAATAAATAACTGACAAACATTAGTTATTTTAATGCTAACTGGCTAATACAAATAAGCAGTTACAAAGATATGGTCTATGTGGATGAATAAAAACTGTCTCAACGCAACTCGGATATTATTTTATAGACAGAATGAACTAAATATTCTGTGTATCAGTATACTGCAAGGGATTGATCGGTTCAAAGAACCGTTTGGAAGCTCGAATAGTAATAATCGAGTTTGATCTCTAAAGATTACGGAGTATAGGTTTTGGCGAACTTATCCTTCATTTTTTCTTGGTTGCATTTCAATACATTCAGCAGCACATAAGAGTTTTCTAATAGCTACAAAATTCATACGTATTATAATTGCATAGTACTTTAGAATAGGCTTGTTGTGATTCCGCAATCGCCTTATCGTAAGAATTCCGAACAACTAGCTTCTTGCTTAGTGAATCATTTATTTTCGCAAGTTTCTCAGAAATAATCCTCATGTCGTGCTGAAGACGATTTTTTTCATCATCTTCTTCAATAATTGCTTTTTGTAACTGATCTCTTTTCTGACACAAATCTTCTATCACTTAACTATATCATGCATTCAAGAAACTGATGTTACGTTTCACAAGTTCGGTGTTGTGCTGTTGAAGAATTTGTGCGTCATGTTTCATTTTCAAAATGTTTGTGATGTTGGTGCTAGGATACGTGCCAATGTTTTCAATAACCAATATCTTTTCTACAAACCATTGTAATGTAATTAAGAGTAGGATAGAGTTCCGGATACTGAAATTGTTCAAAGGGTATGGTGCTAATCGAAGTATTTTTCGACAGTTATTTGAGGATTGTGTCCGGCGTTAAAGTGATTATGTTTATCTAAGTACGGTGAGGTTACTGAAACTAGCTGTTATTATGTTACTTGGAGGCCAATCGACTGTTTATGAGAATTATGATGAACAAACGGTATTACAGGCATTGGTATCGAATTCGGGAACATCACTTACGGTTAGGATATGAAATTGACCGACCTAGTCAGTCATTCCCACTCAACGTAGAAGCTGACAAATACATGGATGCATTTAATTAGCCATATAGCATTTACACAGTGGTATGCAAAATTAATAAGACTACCAACAGTGTTAGTGTTAGAGAAAGGATATGTTCCGAATAGGTGGCTTTAGAAGAAAATATAAACCAGAAGAACAAAAATTCCAAGATCTGAGAAAATAGAAAGGTGTGTATCCGTACAAATATGAACGATTATGGATTATGTTACGAAAATCCCCGACAGCTATTTACGGCAATAGCATAGATTCCAACGAAGCCTGAGTTTGCTAAACGGCTCAATTCAACAGTCACCAACTTTATAGGCTGATGATACATTTTCTGGTCAGCTCTTGCTTCCGTCTGGCTTCTATACACCGGCCATCATGTGTCATGCTAACTGGAGGTCGAAGATGCATAGCAAATGTCTAACGAATTCTTTAAAATTAGTTGCAATACTAAAACGGTACATGGTAGATCCATTTAAGTCAAGCAGGGTTAGTGTGACCATCTTGCATACTTTAAATCCGCAGCCAAGGATCCCTTTTTGTAATTTGGTCGACAGACGCCATTTTGTCTGAAGTGTTTTAGGTTAGCTGGGTGTATATAGGCTAGTGCGAATTCCCGTTTCGAAATACTTGGATCGTAAATTTGTATGCCCAAATTCTTAAAAATATGCTCGGTGTTCCGTATGTCTTTTGGTTCGATACGGTATTTATTCTTTTCTTATATAATGAATGACACATCTGTATGGTGGTTAACAGGTGGTTTATGACCTATTAGCATCTGTAGACAGGGAAAATCTGATGCCGGGTCCTTTAGCACTCAGTATCTCAGGATTCGGTAGAGCACGCGAAGACCCAGGTTGAAAAGAAAACGACGCTCAACGATGTGGAAACTATGAGAGTAGAAGCAATCACAATTAGGTTAAAAGCAGCCAATGTCAAACAGAAGTCAGTCAACAATTTTCTATTATGTAAGGGACATTACAACTAGAGTACTAAAATTACTTACTTCCCTAATATCGTACAATTATATTAGCGGGTTGTTGTACAGTACAGGAAGTCTATGATATACTTGGATTGACATGAAAACCAAGAAAATGTTTTATTGAAACAATTAGGCTCCACATTTAGCTAAATAGCCTTTTGCTGTAAAGTAAATTTGAGGAGTTAAAAAATATCTAATGTATATGTAGAATTTGATATGAATGTTTTCATTTTGTGGACGACCAACGAGATCTGCATAAAGTTTGTTTGAACAGGTGTACATGCGATTGTAGTTTTCCCATTAAAAATGAAATGGCATGGTTAGCAGAAAATGGCGGTGATTGTTATTGCAAACGTCGAATTTTCGTTATTCTCAGACGAATTTGGGCGTACGTGTTCTTTTGACTTCATGAGATCAGTCAGCTCATTACTATAATAATAGACCTGATTCAAAATTGCAGATTTGTCATAATGTGACTACCTAACCTACCAGATGTTAAGTGAACGTCATACCATTGGTCACTGTGACTCGTCCTATCGTGTAAATCAGAAATATGATGTTTACTGCTTCTGAGAAACACGTTTCGGCTGTGGATAAAAAAACATATTTTGTGTGAAAATATGTGAACTACACGGAGTGACCACGCTCGCAAGTTTCAGTCACTCATACTGACCAGGAGTCCGCGTGCTCACCATCTCTAACCTTCTCTCCATGTTAAATGTTAATTGTGAATTTTCTCTTCAAGGACCGTGTGGTTAGGAACCAATACCACCGTAGATCATCCAAATTTTCCTGACTTATTGCTGTCATAACCACATTTTTGAAATTCAAGGGATGTCGGAGTATAAATATACTGCAACTTCGGGTCCTCAAAACCAAGATTTGATAAGACTCGGTAAATCCCATAACTATATGAGAACTTCTTAATTATAAATTTAAATACATCAAAGTTTTATCCTCTACCCTAATTAATGAATCAAATTCATCAAAAAAATTCACCCGTACAGTCTCTCAATGTCTGAAAACTAATAGATGTAGGCTAGTATGTGTGAGTTCGAAGTGGGGGTAGAGAAACGAAAACTATTCTATCCCTGATTGGCTGGCAAGCACGCGAGAGAGAGAGAGAGAAGACAAAGACAGCTGGAACACTAATCACTTTATTCCAACCCCGATCTAGCACTGGAATTCCCAATTCAGATTAGGGTGAAAAGTTACATGAATAAATAGATGACTAAGCTGACCACAACGTACAATAATAAGGAAAATACAATTGTGTCCAAAAATGGGGGATTGTAGTAGAAAATAGAGTACAAAAGGTTATGTCCAAATTACAATAGCTTTAGAACAGAAAATGCTATGGCAGTGAATTATGTATCAAAAGAAAGCTTATGATCTGTAGAATAGGCTAGGGGCAAAAGTAAATGTTACAGTTTTACAAGCTTTGAATTAAATGAATTAACGTCCCCAAAAATAGCTTCCGTAATTTGTTAAGGCTTCTTGTTTCGCGGTTCACATCACTTTTCCCAAGCCTTGATAAAGGAGATTGGTTAGACATAGGGTTAGCAACCTTATACGGTGAAAAATAACCTAGCTGAAAACGCTTACTCCTTCCTTGGAGTCGAAGGATCTTCATTTGAAGGAGTCATGACGCCTCGTCCTGAAATCCAAGAACCTTCAGAAATTACTGAGCAGATATCCTTTCGGCAGCCAGATCAAGGTTTGATATTGGTACATGGAATGTATACATAATGTGAGGGACCGAAAGGATCATTCAAAGAGCTGTAGAACTGGAAAGGTATAAAATGGTGGTGAACAGAATAAGTGTAACTCACTTCTTCAAAATTTCTGTCTTCTGTAGATTTATCTTCCAATGATCGTTCATATGTATACATATGTTTTATATATCTAAATATGTATGCCGTATCAATATTCTTAAGCATTTTAATTGTTCCAGTCACAAGAGTGAACTATGGTGAGTTCTGAATATCTTACAGTAAATATGATGTTCATAATATCATGACACGGTGAGAGAGCTGTGTTAGTGAGAGATTGTCTTAGTTTAATGTTGATATATATGGTGATGAGTCCAATTCAGATGACAGTACCACGAAAACGCGACAAATAATAACAACCATCATGCAGTTCCCAAAATAATTAGCACATAGTTGCAATGCATCTGAATGAATAATTAAACTTACTGATGTTTTTGCTTAACTGACTCGTTTTTTGAATCAAATGCCACACATGAACTGCATACATTTGATCTTCGAACCTGAACTGAGTCAGTTAGTTGATGCTGTGTTAAGAATAGTGCTTTGTCCTCGTGGAGTTTTGGGGGATTATGTTATATTTAGGTTTGGACTCGTGAATCATGAGCTTTGCAGTGCGACTCCACAGCGAAAGATTAGTATAAACTGCTAGACGAATTCTCCGTTTGATTTCGTGTATCCTATATAGGCTAACCCTGTTCAGGAGATGACAGTTATAAAAAGCCAAATAGGCATTAAAATTTAATGATATTTTCCAGGTATTGACTTACTAAGACAGACAGCAGGATGTTAGGAAAAGTGAAGGAAATTATATGTGACAACTCAAGGTGTTACTCATCACAAGCTCCGACATGACTGAAAGTGAAATTGAGTCATTAGACTCAAAAACACAACAACTTGGTGACCATATGGTGCACATAGTATAAAGATAGTTTAAAACGTACAAATATATAATTCCTAAATAGTTTTAACTCCTTTTATACTGTCAGAAAGTATCCAAAATCGCTGATAGGTTGGTTCGACCTGCTCCAAAAGTGACGAGTTGACTGTAAAATAATTCGAGAACCTCACGATAAGTTATATCTCAATCTAACCTGAATATGGATGATAAAAGCGTTCAACATTGATGTACGTTTGACGGTGAATAGCTGGGCTGATTTGTATTTCTCAAAAATATTCAGGTTGCTTGACAACACGGTGGTGGTGGGTACAAAGTCAGTTAATGTGGCAGCCGCAGAAGTGAAAAAGTGAAAACGAAAATAGGCATTGCAAAACTATATATTTGCCAGGAATTGAAAGAGAGGTTCAATAGGAAATTTGAGTAAATATAATGTCACGCAAACCAAAACATATGGTTAGTTCTCAAATAAAAACCTCATAAAATGCCAACCTTACACTTAGGTGAAGACAACAATTGGTCGTCACAATAAATGTAACATGAAGTATTTCCACACACATTCACATAAAAGCATATTAAAGGATCTTACACTTTACACTTTTATTTAGTAATTATGTTTTAAAAGGTGTTGTAATAGTTTGTGACTGTACCTGTCAGGTGAAGTGTTGTTCAGTATTGTGAAACTTTAGATTATACAAATTCTACTACTTGCACCACTCTATTTTTAGTAATCTGTTAGTAAACGTCGACATCTATTCCTATTATAAATCATATTCAAGGTTATTTTATTACCTGGTCATAAAAACTAAACAGAAAGTTATCGGCACTTCAAAATAAGCTTCAGTCACAGGATTTCCGTCAGTTTCGTTGGTTTGAAAAACGCAGTTTACGTAGACTTAATATTCCCGAGGACGTAGTCAAGTTACTAATTAGTTGAGATAAGACATGGATGATTTACGAAACTTGGCATCGAACAGCTAAAACTTTCATGGAGCGAATAAACAAAGATTCTGAAAGCAAGTTGATAACACAGCACACACGAGAGCCCCGTACCCCTCTCTTCATCCATTTCACCCAATCCACATCATTCTGCCGATTAACCTTAATTCCTCATGTTCGACCATGACAGTAATTTACAGACCCTTCAAACTCCGTCGATCAGCCTTCATAGGTAAAAGCGGTTCGTCTTGATGGATGATTTGGCTAATGCGAAGTGACACTTCATCGGCTCCAC